GATTAAATTTCAGTTGGGAAAACATTTGCCGGAGCATTAAACCAACCTCAACCAGGAAGCATTGCTCTTTGTTGTATAGTTCGGTCCATGTGTCAATCAATCTGGTTAACTCCTCCCACACACGTTGCCTCTCTGTAACACTGTCAGGGCGAAGCCTTGAATTGATCAATAAAATAATAATCATGAAATGATTACATTACATACAGATCATTTAAATGTACATGTAAGTTTCCAAAACTGACACACATCAAAAAATGACTGAGCCAAAGCTACAAAATGCATCAAAGAATCAACTACATAGTTATGTATTTCATGTCTGTAAATTCACTTTGCACTGGGAAGTCTTCCATGCACAATTACTGGTACTACATAATCCCAAAAAGATTGGAAAATTCAGGACTATTAGAGCTGTTAGACAATTACACATACATGTAGAAGTAAAATGTTAATATGAATTGACCAATTGAGTCAATTCATTTCAGTGACTTTCATTGCAAGCGCTGGTCTTTGTTCTATTTAAAAAAAAATGCTGTTTTCATATTATTTTATTTTACATGTATTTTATACCAAGATTTTCTGGTTCTGCTGTTGAAACCAGAAGTCTAAAGTATTGTATCCATTTAGCATTAGTTTTATGCTGCTTGAGTGAACTTTGTTCGGAATGTGTACATATACTTCAGCCTTCATGTAGGTTTCAAAAGCAAACCCCGAGAGATCCAAAATTTTGTAAGTTATTAATATGCTCAATAACAAATACTGAATTTGTATCATGCATTTTCTCACTACAGCATTTAAGATTTTTTAAAAATTTCTATGTTTCAAAATGATGAATATGCACACTACAGTCTAACTTAAAAATTACATTCCCATTTTATTTCCAAAACAGTTACAAAGGCTTGATGTGCTGTGTCCTTGCAAGCCTGTGGCCTTGAAAGTTACTTTGTGATATCAGTAGTAGAGACTGGTATTTACTGGATCAGCCCCTCTTTCCCACTTTCCAAATCAGCGCGGGACTTAACCCACTTCCTGGATCAGCCCGGGACTTCCCCCAAACCCTGTGACCCGCCATCCCAAACTAGCAATCGCGGAGCTCCGAACACAAAAAAGCGGAACTTCCTCCAAAACTCGTGACCCAACTCAGCGTAACTTCCCCCAAACCCGCGTAAATTGTGTCGAGTTGGATGGAATGGATCATGTGGTGCTCGTAAACGGCAAGCATAAAAAGCTGAGGCACCTGCGAGAAAACGAGCCACCGCCCAATTCAGTGACAAAACTCGACTCTGATTTATACAAAATTGGACAAATTATTGAATATGACATTGATGTTAAAATAGAAATCCCACCCAAGTTAAATAGATGCGGCCGAATAAAAATGAGAAAATGAGATGGCAAAGCCGGGAAAATCAGAATCATGTCAACCCAAGTATATATCGTTTCAGACGACCACGAGCGTCTCAACGCCAACAACTGCGATTCCAACGTCACCTGTGGCCCCTTTGATCCGAGTTGATTAATCTTTTCAAAACCAATTTTAAAGAAGGCACTCACGTGAGTCAATGCAGCTCGCCCATTTTTTATCATCACAACGGTCAAAATAAACACCTGTTGATTGTGACGATAGAACCCTATTACGGCATAACCCCGCTTTACAAATACAGCACTTGAGATAAAACGCTGGAAAATTTAGTGGGTCGGCAAATTTGCTATCAAATACAGAAACCTACAACAAACATACTCGATCACATAAACTTAGCCGTTTATAGGTTTATCGAATCTCAAGAGTCTAATCTCCTGTCTAATACCATAAACGCCTACAAAGCCAGTCGCGACATTGATGATTTGAACAAGATCGAATACAGTGTATGTAGTTAAACCACCTTACACGGCTAAGAACCAAATGTATGTTAGAATAGATCCCTATGCCTCTCTATTTGATCATCAAAAGAGACCCACTGACACGTCAAATATCGATAAATTTATCAATAAGAGATGCGACGCGCAATCATTTATTTGTCCAAAAGACGTATACTATGGTACTCACTGTTCACTGTCGTGCGGTGCCAGCATTCGGTACAGAGTGACAGCGGCAATGTTGAAAATTAGAAACAACAGACTAATTTCAAATAAGTAGCATATCTGAATCTCCCGTAAAATTAAAAGTCGATTAAATTATAAATCAATTGAACCTCGGTTAATCCTCGGAATAACTGAGGTTATAAATGAGGTTATTTTCACGTCATTCGTTCCTTAAATAAATTGACTATTAATAACAATGACAGATGCAGAGATTTATTACCTTTTCAGTATAAAACCCAAACCACAGCCACCAGGGCCACCAAGACCCCATGAAATTTGTGACCATAACATGCACGAAATAGACGACATGTATGTTTGTAAAATTTGCGGTTTGGTAATATGTTTTAAACCTTCATACACCCCACAAAACATGGTAGATATATATTACGAGCATCACATTTTTAAAAATGACCACCACCAAAATCAAGAAAGACTTTGAAAGAGTTAAACATTGAATTGCCCGGTGAACAATCGGGTCGCATAGAATACGTGTTAAATCAAGTTTTTGATGGTAATATCTCTAGAGGTAAACTGTTTAAGGCTCTAATTGCGGTATGTTATCAAGAGGCAACTTGGGAGGACGATTTAAAAGTAAAAGATTTGTTTCAAGTTTTGGATAAGTGCTGAAAAAATGCCCTCGACAAATTAAACCTCGCCAAACAAGACTTTTCAACAGGTATGTAATAAAATGGAGACTCACACGTTTTACTTGACCAAAAGCGAGCAGACGTTTAAATTGAAAGATGTCAATAAAAACACCAAAGGCGAGAAAGTCGTCAGAGTAAGGAATATTCGGTTTGAAGCTGGATATTTTAATGTAACAAACGCACTGAAATTGAGTGGGATACAAACTTGGACGCTAGGCGAACGACCGCCTGGAATACCTTTAGAGGAAAGAAGGGAACTATCTCCCAATTCAGAATTAATACAAACAGCTAAAACCAGATTGATCCAAGCAAATAAAAGAGGCACTTTAGCAGAAGAAATCAGAATCATCGCTGAGGAAATTGAGCAGCTAAACCAAGAAATCGCAACTTTAGAAGAGCAGTTAAACCAAAGACAACCATCAGAAATGCGAGCTCGTTTAGCTTATGGTATCAACGATAAAAAAGTCAAATCAGTTTCATTGCTCGAGGGGCAGAGACAAGCTTTGGATGAAATTTATGAAGGGAATCCCCCAACTTGACCTATAACAAACTCCCCCGTACAACCCACGAGACCCAGAAGAAAACTAAATAAAAGCCTTTTTTTTGACGGGGCTAACAGAACCTATATACGATAGACTTCATTCTCTAAGCTCATCTCAACCATTACCTGAGGGTCAAAGAGGAAGCATCGTGGTATCTCTCGGTTATTATAACATGGACTGGTTTGAATTTTTGTTAAACTCAATTCCAGGCATTTCTTTAAAGGTTCACGCAGAATCTAAAAGGGTGACTTTGGCCATTACGGATCCCAATCTCAAGTTGCAACTAAATAAAGAAGTGTCTAAGCTATTGAACTTACCCAAAATAAAACTTTTACCCAACGTTATTTATGAAGGCAAGTATGATTTAAACCCCTTGAAACTTGCGTTTATTCATTGCAAACAGTTAAATACATTTGCCAACTTTTACAACGGGCAGTCTTTAGACTTCCTAGACGTGATATTGGCTTGGGCAGTATTTCGAAATTACCGAATACCGCGGTTTTGTTTTTAATACCGAGCAATACCGACTAACAATCCAAGAATACCGGAATACCGACTGCTTCTTGTATTACTCATTGGCACATGTACACAAGTCATGTACATGTATCAAAGCCCTACAGGTCGGGAATTAAAAATCAGCTGGTCTTCTGTGTCCGCACTGGACTTTATTTTCCGAAGATTTTTATTGATGGATCAGAAAATGCGAATGCTGCTTGTGCTAGCCTTGTGCTGTCTTAGGGTCTTTTTTGTCCTTTATATACAACATGTACAAGTATTGTGTGAAAATCTATCTAACCGAAGCCAGTATGTGTGTTATAAACTATAAAATGATTCCATAAATCTGCATCTGTTCAACATCCACGGCAATCAACGATCTTTTTTATTGTTCTCACATTCGTTCCAACCATACGAAAAGAAAAGCAAAAACCTGATTCCTCACTTGTCACTGCTTGTATTTTGGTCATTGCCTTCTGCAATGAATACCGCAGTATTAGTAAATACCGTGGTATTCTTTTTCATGGATACCGCGGTATCGAAAAAGGCAATACCGCTCAAGCCTAACGTGATAGCTACCGAGCCATGCTACTCAACACCTGTGATGTGTGAAATGCCTAAAAAGTTAATAGACAGAAACATCAATGAATTGACGTTTTCTGTTAAAAACGAGCGAGGTGAGCTCTTAAATAAAATCGGCAAAATTCTAATTGAGTTAAACATTTTTTAAAATGCATATAAAATAAAAACATGACGACTAACGTATACCCGGATTTAACTAAGTACCCAGAATTAAACTCGGCCAAGCAAGCAGAGACTAAAATTTACCGCCTTCAAAAGATCGAAGAAATCAAATCCCACATCAAAAGAGAATGCGACGCGCGCGAAACTAGCTACAAAGAGATTAAATGGATACTCACTGCACTCGGTTACGTAGAGTACGGTGTGGAAGCATTAGGCGCTACTTCGGCAGCCGTCGAAATTCCCACCCATTGGACTAGTGATGGAACGCATCACTATTGGCGCGTTTGGCGCTTACGCAATATTAAAATACGCCACGCGTAGGCTGTCTCACAAAACCAAACAGCACGATCAAATTCGAATGTTGGCAGACGCTAAATTAAATACAATTGAGGAATACGTATCTCACGCAATTGAAGATGATGATATATCGCAGGAAGAATTTGTACTGATTTTATTCGAGCTGAAAAAGTTCAATGAAATGTTAAATTAAATTAAGTTAAGGTCAAGTACCTCTACCAAACTGCAAGCGAGCGAAACAAGAAGCATAAAAGAATTCAAACGGCAAGTCAACAAAAGAGCAGAAGCGCTACCCAACAAACGAGCGGCCGTTAAAAAAAGATCTTATGAAAAAACTTGGCAGATAAGTTTGAC